GATTTTTCAATAAATCGTTCTGGATAAAAATTCTCGACGAAGATTCTCTTGATATTGTCCAGTTCATCTTCTATGGTACCCGGGGTGCAGATTCTGCGAACTCTGTAGCTCAATATTACTTTAGTTACTATCTAATTAACCTTGTTTCTATATTAGATCATTCTTGTATTACCTGATTAATTATCTGAACTTGACAAACCTCATGTACACACACGTAAAAATAATTATATATAAATGCGATTGTATAGCTATGTGAGTGAGTTCGCCGAAAAGGGTCTCTTCGCTGAACGTCTTCTCTTTTACACATTTGTTACTTGAATTTATTAAGGTGTACCTGAAGCACTAATATTGTGGTAAGTGTTATTAACAAGAATTTGTATGTAGCCTATGGGTGATGCCTTCCCCAAGAATCTTGATTAGACGAGTTATTGAAAAAGGGGAAATGAAGATCAATACGCAGCAATATAGAATGCATGAAATTAAGGAAAAAGAAGTGAACCTTGAAGTTCCAGTGTAATGTTTTTATAATGCGCCAAATAATGCTTGCTAACAAATATCATTGTGTTCTGTTGTCGCATTATGACAACATACTTCAAGACATTACTACCAGTGTCAGTAAAATTTCACATTATCTGTTTGTATTTTTTTTTCGACAGTTAAACATTTAACACGTAAGATTTCTTTGATATATAACATAAATCTCCGTCCGTGGGATATTTACTATGGCTATAGTTACTGTTGGCTGAACCTGGATGAGTCAGACATAATATTTATATGCGCTGATGTCAGTCAGTCCTCTTGTTCGGTTCTGCTGACAAAAAGTACAGAAATATTAGCATTACGATGTGCTAAGTAATTTCACAGGAATCGCCAAAACATTTTGCACTATGCATAATAGTTTTAGTTCTTTTTTTCAAAACTCCATCAAATTGATCATCTGTGAGTAAATCCGTTGAAAACCTTCAGCTGATTATTTTATTATATTTATCATTTTGCTGTTATGTAAATAAAGCTATTTTTCAATAAACCAGAATATTTGAGTATGGAGTGAATTTGTGGCAATTTGTTTCTTTAAAGTTCTATATTTGCTGGGGACATTGCAATACCTTGGGAAGTTTGGAAAATGGCTCAGTTAAATCAACAATCGATAGTTCCCTTCTTTACAGAATGTATGGTGATAATATATTTCAAAAGACTGATTACTGAACAAAGAATATTCTTTTCGATAACTTCTTCATCAGGTTCTATAGTTATATATCCATAACAATGAAAGAATTAGGGTTGTTAACAACATCAGTGTTTAAATAACATCTAATCAGTAATATCAATAGACTACAGTTCAGTGGCATCAATAAGTGTGATAATATGCATCAACATAACACTACACTGAATTTAAAATTAGGAAAAGTAAAAATATAGAAGGCCAGGGCAATAGTAGTGCTTGGACCTGTTTCTTCTGCACAAGGAGCACCAGTTGTTTCGGGCAAATCGCAATAGCCTCTGCTCTTTGGAGACTTCCGTAATTTATTTGGTACACAAAGGGTGATGGAGAAGGATTCGTCAATGCTAGTTTTGTGGCCAGTTTGGACCAGGTGGTCTAATATCACCATACCTTAATTTAGCCACACTGATAAATGTCCCCGAGCGAGTACGAAAAATAAAGTTCCTAAAGCAAAAGACAATATTACTTGCTCCACAAGCGCAGTTGAATTAATAGAAACAGTTAAAGAGGGTCAGTTTAGGTACTTCATCTTTTCACTTGGGGAATCACCACCGGTCGTGTAGAAAATAAGGCTTGTAGTTTACCCTCATTAAAGTTCTTTGAATAGATTTTCTTAACTCGGTACGTCACCCTTGAACTGCAACCATATATATAAAGGCTTCTTATTCATAGATAGAGAATAGTCCTCTTCTACTTTCTTGGTCATGTGTTTCCTGATGAACTTTTCTGGATAGCTATTTTCAATTAGGAAGTCATATACAATGCTAAGTTCATTTTCAATTACATCTTCTGAGCATATAGCTCTGAACCTGTAGCTGAGTGTCACTATTAAATTCATTGGGTACTGGAGAGGAACAGAGCTATGAAAATGTGTATATTGTCCTGTCCATATGCTTTTCCTATGCAAATTTCTCTTTATACTACCATCTAGTTTTCTTGTAAGAAGGACATCCAGGAAGGCAATTCTGTTTTGGCATTCCTCTTCGCACGTGAGTTTCATAGCAGAATGTACTTCATTGAATTTAGTTATTATTGTTGTTTTCCTATCCGAATCATTATCACAAAGAATGAATAATACATTTATTACCTATGACAAAAATTATAACTTTGATTGTGTTGTGCAGGTTTCTAAAAACATTCATCTTTCCAGCAAAATTACAGTTGAAACAGAGTACCAGCAACACGTTCCTTTCTGAATATAATGCTCTTAAGGCAGATTGATGGAGTATTGAAGAAATCAATCTGATAAAACTCTTATGTTGAATAGTTTGCTGACTAATGTTTTCAGTTAGGTATAAGTCGAAAAAGAAGCCTTTATCTCTTGCTAGTAGGGTTAGAAGAAATTGTAGCTCAGATGTGTTGAAAGCAGAGATCTTACTGAAAAAATACTTGACTGAAAATAGGGATTCCACAAACTCCACAGAAAAGAACATGACAAAGAGGTCCTTACCTATGCGTAGAAAAAGGTAATACCTTCAGTATGAGTCACTTACTGACATTCTACTAAAGATTTCTTAGGAGGAAATTCCTCGCATCGAAATCTAGAAGCTATTCAATATCAGTCGTTGTCTGGACATTATTACTATGAATTTTTATTTTTATATTTTTGTCATAGATTGATTCTACACAGTATTTTTTATACAAGTATGGAATTTTTTAGCATATGATATCGGTAGCCCAAATTTAGCAATCCGACCATTGATATCAGGTGTGCGTCGGCTGGGGATCGAACCTCGGACCATGTGCATGATCGGCGAGCGTCTTAACCTCTGTGCCACCGACTCACTAATAAGCGATCAAGTGAATCATTTTAGATGCAACGAATTTGCTAAAGGAATTTTGTCAGACTGTGAGCATCCACTTTACCCGCAGCTCCAACCTTGTGTCTCCTCAGGTAAAACAAGAAGTCTTTTCAGAAGACTTTATGCGCGTACGTCTAAGTAGAAAAATTCCACTATACCACATTTGGCACGTACTTTAGTGTTAGGCATGAACTAACTAACCTTCTTTTCACTACTAAATAAACCATTTCCTCCACCCTTACAACATCAACCTTTATTGTTGTTGTTCTTATATTTATAATCCCCGCAATTTTTGGTTTTTATTTGTTTATTTTTCATAAGTGTGAACATCATTTAAGCTGTGTTATAACTGTTAATTTTGTATTTCCCCTCACCATACTATATCAACAGAACACTAGATTCAATACTCTATAACATGCTAAAATTTCCAAACTGAATCGACAATACTGTTTGAAACAAACTCACTGTTATTATTATTATTATATTTATTATTCTCAATTCGTACTTCGAATATTTTTGACTTTATATCGTAAATGTGGACAAATTCCTCTGGTTAATTTTGTTTTAATTTTTAATTTTATTTATATTTTGAGTAAATCAGATGCAATATTGTGACAAATGCTGAGAATTCCATTCTGTATTATAAGTACTGTTTTTGAAATAAAGTAGATTATTATTATTAAATTACCAGTAATATGTGTCTTATATAAGTGATGCCTTGATTAAACTAACACTTCTAGTTCATTTTTAGTCTTTTTCTCTTTTTTGTTAGACTTAATAAAGAAAGTTCAATTAAATCTAGAGATCTCAAGAGTTCAGATAGGCCAAGTTTCAAGTAGTCAAGTTATAAGTGTTGTTTCTGGGGGATATACATTAAATACTGATAGAATGAAGTAGCCATGAGCTTTGTAGAATTTTTATATCTAAAATCATATCGCTCTACAGTACTTTGGTACATAGAGTTCCAAACCGTAAGAAACGGTTCGTAAATATACACGTCAGTTATAAATATCGTGGAATTGATTTTCTAAATCTGGTAATTACTGATGTCTATTAAATACAACGGTAGTGATATGAAATATATTTTCTTCCACCTAAGAAATTAAACAAGTGAGCACCACTGATTTATACGTCAGCTTCAATGAAGTTACACAATGTTAAATTGCTAACGGATCATTTTTTCCACCTGGAAAGGGTAATGTTGGGTAAATGCAGACAGTTTGTAGAGCAAAGCTGAAATAAATTCACAGACAAAAATTCCTCCTAAAAGAAACCTATACAGTCCTACCAAGTGTATCTGAGGTTGATTTCATTTACCATACCATCAGATGCTGTAAAAAGAATGCATTCCCTATGCTGATTATTAATAAATATGTATCTCTCATTGTTTCTAGTCAAAGTCTTTCATAAAACCAGAATAGTCTGTCTAGAGGAAAGAAAATTTGTGTGCATGTGTGTGTGTCAACGTGTTTTCGTTGAGCATATGATGTTCGTCAAGAAACATATCCCTCACATTCCAGAGGGTTGCCCACAGCAGTATAGCCTGCAATGCATCTTTCAATATTGTTTGCAAGGTCAAGAGAAACTCAATGGCCGTATTCGTTTCGCATTGAGCAACCAATAATAATATGTATAATATTAAATCAAGAATTTGCCTACAAAGTAAAATGTACGGTGCACTTCATTACCTTTGACCTAATTTATTTTAATAAAATATGATAAACAAAGCGTTGTACTCTTCTTATTCCATTCACACTTTTTCATTATATTTCATTTTGTTTTATCACATCATGATATTTTTATTTTTTTAATGACAATAGGTCACACTGCTTATTGTCCAATAAACTGTATTTGACGTGACAACATCGCATATTCGCATATTTCATTTTCAATAGTGCTTAACCATCCAATCAGATTAGCTCTACACTCACCTATTTACTCATTCGTCTATTGATCTTCGTCATAACCTTGAGTCATTCATTTCATTTTCTAACCGATAGATGATTCATAACCATCGTAATCTCAATATTATAACATTTTTAGTATTTCCATGTCTAAACTGTAAAATTGTAAACATTCGTGTTATCATCATCTTTCCTAATCTGTGTGTAAATACGATGAAAATAAAATCGCTGCTAGTGTGAATACTCTATCCTGATATTACTGTTAATAAAATGGAATACCCAGACATCATATCCAGGATAATTTAATTAGAAGCATAAAAGGTAAGTGATGCCGTTCATTTATGTGACTTATTTGTATTTTTCACGTTAACCTAATTTTGAGAGTTTACTGATGGCAATCTGTACTGAATATTATTTTTATTCCTTCCTTGCATGCAGAGTGGAACATGAGGCCTTGGCAGTGCATATCCATTCCACTAGGTTCTTTGCTATCATTTTCAGCTAAATGGCTACTCACAAGCTTTCATTTCCCCCTTATATGATCTTCTCCATGTCATTTTAGGATGTCCAAATCGTTGCTTTCCATTCGGGCTCCCATCAACGGCCTTCAGCATATGTAGATCAATTTCCCTCTGCATATTTGTTAAGCAATAAGTTCGTAGTTGATTCGTTCGCAGAGTCCCTTGTTGCTAGTTTTTTCTGGCAAACTGATCTTTAATAGGGAGTGAAGGCATCTGTTGATAAAAGTCTTCAGTACCCTGTTTGAGATGCTTTACGTGACACATAAATTTTCTCTCTGAACAGTATAATAACACTGGCTGACTTGACACTGAGTTTCTCGAGCTAAATGCTGTGGATCCCCACACCGATTTTAGAATAATGAACATCTATCCTGCCTTGCTTATCCAGTCTTAGTTTTGACACCTTCATCTGTATCACCAGTAGTTGGAATGATATTTGTCAAATTCTGGTAAGTAGAAGGGATGTCGTCCTTCAGACCACTGTTTTCTCTTGTTGGTGAGGTATCTTCTTCAACTCTGCTTTTTCTGTGTTCACTAGAAGTCCTGTCCTCGCTGCCTTTTTTTACCAACTTGTTGGTTTTCTCTTGTATATCTTCAAGTTTATGTAAAATATCATTTTTTTTCATCAGTACGCGCCCACCGGAGTTCGAACCCAGGGCATTTTGGTTACAAGGCGAGCTCGTAGACCATTAAGCCACTGGGACCCGATCCAATGGCCCATGAATTCTTACTTCTGCCAATTCACGACATAGCGTGACCACTAGCCAATGTCTTCGACGAGTATTTGTCCTCACACCCGACCTACTGCACCCTACTGGTCACGACTTCTCATTAGAACCCCAGGTAACTACCTACCTGAATCAGGCAAGTCGCCAGTGAGCATCTCATTGATATTCAAGTGTTGGTTTGTAGGGATTTGGTTGATTGGTTACAGGATTTCATCATGAGCTGACATTGGTTAGAAAACCACTGACACTTGACAATTAATCTAATGCCCACTAGTAGCTGGCCCTATAGGGCAAGTAGCTTGGGTTCTAGTGAGAAGCCGTAACCAGAGAGGTCAACCAAGTCAAGCAAGAGGACAATTACTCGTCCGTGATATAGGCTGGTGGTTGCGCTAAGTAATATCACGAATTGACAGAAGTTGGAATTCATGTACCACTTTGTTTGGTCCCAGTGGCTTATTGGTCTACGAGCTCACCTTGTAACCAGAGTCCTGGGTTTGAACTCCAGTGGCTGCATACTGTTGAATAGTCCCAAAACTAGGAAGAAGCATCTGTCCAGTACTCCCAGGTTTTCCAGTGGCTCTCTAACTAGTGTCAGCTTGTGACCAGTCCTGTAACCAATCAAATCCCTACAAACCAAAACTTGACAACTGTTATTTTAAGACTTGCACATCAGGATTTGTTTGAGGCACACATACGAACTTGACCTTGAATATGACCCTAAACGTCATTTAGTTGATTTATTCATTTCCTGCCTTTATGTCATTTATCAATGTTTTTAATCTTCAAACATACAGATTGATGAAACAAGAGTAATAAGAAGACGTAATTTGTCTGAATCGTGTAATGTATTTGCGCAACACATTTCGAACAATCTGATCACACACGGACTTGTCATAGGAATATATATGAAATTAATAAAGAGGTAAGGGGTGAGAAAAAAAAATAGACTTAGGTCAAGTTTAAAGGACATATTCAAGGTCAAAGTAACAATGAAGACCACTAAACCAAATAACAGAGGTAATAGTACATCTGCTATGGTGTCAAAACAAAATTTACCAAGGAAGGTTTAATGTGATGACAAATTGTTTTTGAACGCATAAAGGTGGCTTAAACTTTCTAATTGCTAGGGCTTCCACAAACTTTAGGATACGCCCCAAACACGTTTTATAGATAGGTTTAAAAGATCTGTTAACGTCAAAGATACATTTGAATTGGTTGATTTTCTTGACAATAGTAATATTAATGTTATGAATAAGAATATGTACTCTTTTGATGTAAACTCGTTATTCACTAATGTGCCTTTACTCAAAACAGTTGACATTTTGTGTGATTATATTTCCACAAACAATTTTTTCATCCCGTTCCCTATATCTTATTTAAGGGATTTATTACTTCTATGTACTAACAATGTTAGGTTTACATTTGAAGGCGATTGTTTCCGCCAAGTTGATGGTGTTGCTATGGGAAGTCCGTTAGGGCCCATTTTAGCAGATATTTATATGTCGCACATTGAGAATTTATCGGAGGATTTAATCGAAAATGTGCCACTTTATAGAAGGTATGTAGACGATATTGTAATCATCAGTGATAAGTCTTGTTCTGCTACCTCAATTTTAAATCGAATGAATGAAGTTCAAAATAGCATATCACTTACATCTGTAGAAGAGGAAGATAACTGTTTATCTTTCCTAGATATACTGCTTAGTCGACGGCTTGATGGGTCGATAAAAAGATCTATTTATAGAAAACCTACCTGGACAGGACAGTATCTTAATTACCACAGTTTTTGCCCTGTTCGGTACAAAAGAGCCTTAGTAAGGTGCCTCTTCAGTAGAATCCAACGAATATGCACTGAAGACACACTTGATGCGGAAGAAGGAAAATTGACACAAACTCTGGTTGATAACAACTATCCAGACAAGTTCATCAGGAGATATAAAGTAGTCAGAACACCAAGACCCACTCTCCAACTCGCCCCTAAGAAAGATGTATACATCAAGCTACCCTATATGGGGCATCAAACCAGCTTGATAACTAGACAAAGACTGAACGCTGCTGTCAAAAAGACTTTTTATGCAGCCAATATCATAATAATAGAGAATGTTAGGCCAATATATCTATCTAAGCCCTTCGAACATAAGAAAAATGACGTCACATCCCACTGTATTTACCAATTTGAATGTACGTGTGGACACACATACATAGGGAGGACTCATCGATCTCTGCAAGTAAGGGCTTCAGAGCATATTCCTAAATGGCTCCAGAAACAAATGAAATCTTCAGAACCCATTAATGGTGAGAACAGGAGACCTAGCTCCTCTATTGCAAAACATATTATAGAAACAGGTCATAAAATTGACGTTAACAGATCTTTTAAACCTATCTATAAAACGTGTTTGGGGCGTATCCTAAAGTTTGTGGAAGCCCTAGCAATTAGAAAGTTTAAGCCACCTTTATGCGTTCAAAAACAATTTGTCATCACATTAAACCTTCCTTGGTAAATTTTGTTTTGACACCATAGCAGATGTACTATTACCTCTGTTATTTGGTTTAGTGGTCTTCATTGTTACTTTGACCTTGAATATGTCCTTTAAACTTGACCTAAGTCTATTTTTTTTTCTCACCCCTTACCTCTTTATTAATTTTATATATATTCCTATGACAAGTCCGTGTGTGATCAGATTGTTCGAAATGTGTTGCGCAAATACATTACACGATTCAGACAAATTACGTCTTCTTATTGCTTTATCTAAATTCATAAAGGGAACTAATTGTTTTAAAAGAAACAAGAGTAACTCAATTATTTGGGTTACTTTTATCTGATTTATCTGTTCTAAATAAAAATATAAGTGGTGAAAAAGATAGCAGAAGTGAAATTCCATGCGATGGAGTAATAACTACAAAGAAAATGAAATTTCAGGAGAATTTAGTTTCTGGATAAGTTTTCTCTGTAAGCTAAACTTTTGGTAGAGGCATAGATGATAATGATGAGCACGTATATTAGTCAAATAGCAAAACTTTTTATCGAGAACTGTTTGCATTCAAAAAGTAGACTTTGGATTAATATTTTCTCATTATCTTTATTCATTCAATAAATAGAAACTCATAAAAATGATGGTTTTATGGCCTACTCTAAATATTTTAAAGCACTTTAAATACTGAAACGTGAATGCTCATTTTTTCACTCGAGATAAATTTCACTTTAACAGCATTAGAACTACTCTCCAGTGGATTACACTGCATTTGAGATAGATTAATTGAAGTTCTGAAATTTAACATGATTGTTTCCCACATTATATAGTCTTTTCTAAATTAATTAATTAACTGACAATACAATGAAAATTCTCTAGTACACTGTTTAGTCAAAATCCACAGTGAGAATCTCTCATAGTCGATATTTGGTACGCTTCATTCATCAGTTATGCTTGCCTATGACGTCAGCTGGAAGTAAACTCTTCAGGATAATAACAGTAAGCAATTATTGTTGCTATATTATTATTGTTCCCTTGGGTTCCAAGTGGAACATAGGGCTTCAGCAACACATCTCCACTTTCTTCTATTTTCTACCATCCTATTCAGCTGGGTCCACGATTGCCCAAACTCTGTCATCTCTTCCTCTCAAGATCTCCTCAATGTCACCCTAGGACGACTCATTTGTCGCTTCCCATTGGGATTCCACTTGAGCAATAGCCTGGCGGGTACTGTCATTCGACGGCCTCCTCAATATATGCCCGACCCATTCATCTCCAATTTCTCCTACATATTTGTTGAGCAATAGGCTCTTGGTTGGTTTGTTGCCAGAGTTTTTTGTTACTAATTCTTTCTGGTCATTTGATCTTTTGTAAGGAGCGAAGGCAGCTGTAGATGAAAGTCTGCCTGTAGTTGAAACGATGCTTCCTGGCCAGATAAGTGAAGGAAGTTACCTCTTTTAAATCTCTTCCGTTGATAGTGAGCAATACTACCCACTAAAATTATAAAAAATCACAATAAGTGTTAATTCAAACGTGTCACATGAATATATATATATATATATATATAATTAAATTTACATTCTAAAACCGTCACTTACAAA